CCTGCTCGCTGTCTTCCCCATCCAAGCCACGTCGCAGCAACGCCTGATGCGACTTGCCGATGTCGCGCTTTTTCTCGAACCCAAGCTGGATTATGGCCGCCTCCCAGGCAGACCAGTTCCGAGAAACAATTCGCCATGGCTCTTTCGAGGCAGTTTCCTCTGTCTCAAACCACAAGTCTTTCAGCATTCGCCGGACTTCCCATCGCAGATGCCCCTCATGATCGTGAGCTTTCCACGCACACTGAAACCGAGTTCCGCCCTGCAGACGGCCCCCGAAACGTAGCATGGCCCCCAACTCTGCCGACATTGCTACGTGCTGTGTCTGCTGTATCTATATGTTTCGCGCGACAAATGCAGCTACTTCGCTACACCGTCCTAAAGCTCGCAGCGAGGCACACATGTGTTTTGCTTGGACATGCGATGCATCCTTTCTGATTAGTGGCACGCCTTGGGTGGCACAAACATTCGCGAGCCGGCTTTGCATCACTGCTGTCCTGCCCCCCGCAAAGCAAACCATCCTGCACCTGAGCACTGCGGATTTCCAGTTCAGCATGTAATGACCGGGACTAACACTGGGCGTCATCTTTGCTTCACGCGGGGCCGAAGACGAGAGTAGGTGAGGATCGGGTCTTGTCGGCACACGATGCTGATCATGACTCAAAAAGCTTCATACTCATGGTATAGTGTACAAACCATAAACACCAAAGCCTAAACTCTAAACCGATAAAGTGCTAAACCGTAACCCTTAAACCTGAACCCTAAAACCTCCACCATAATTCCTAAACCCCCAACCCTAAACCGCTACACACGCTAACTTTAGCATACGGCGGACAGTTGAGGGGGATGTCCCAGCAGCATGGCCATCAACATTTGCCACAAGTGTGTGCAAATACCAAGAAGTACAATAAACTGCCTACTGCTGTCTACGACGCTCTAGTGGGGCAACTTCGTGTGTTACGGTCATGGGGTCCCCGGTTTAAGGCTCATGCTTTCAAGTCAAACTCCAGGCGGGGCTGCAAAGTTCCAGGCCTTCCTGTGTCGAGCCCTTCTTGGCTAGAATCGTGCTCTCAAGTCAAAGGAAGTACGACTACAACTTTGGCATTTCTTTAAGTTGGAGCTGCACGGACCCTATAAAGTGCACCCTGGTTTTAACAGACAAGCAGCTAGACAGTAACCTATGATGATCGGAAAACTACTTGCCCAGCACCGTCGTTTCTAGTCTAACTTCAAGTCAACACGCCAGAGGAATCAGCGACACACCTTGCACCTGCACATGTTTACAGCTTAACGGTCTCCTCCAAACGCAGTTTAAGGTTTAGGGTCTAGAGGTGAGGCTTTCGGGTTTAAGGTTCGGATTTTAAGGGTTAAGGGTTTAGAGGTTTGGGAGTTTAAGGGTTTAGCGGCTCAGAGGCTTATGGTTTAAGGTTAAGGCTCTCGGGTTTCGGGCTTTGGGGTTCATGCCTTAAGGGTTCAGGATTTAGGTGTTACGAGTTTAGGAATGATGCCGGATACTGACGGCCAAACCGAGCGCACAAAGTGAGATCGCGAACTCCGCATCTGGCAATTTCAGCTCTGTTGCTGCTGCTTGTAGCCCCGTGGTCTCGAGACGAACCCCAATCTCTGCAATCACGATGCGCAGAGCTTCAGCGCACAGTGCCGCGACTGGAATACATATGCACTGCTGATGACATGAGCAGTGAGCGAGCCAAGAAACGAAATTGTCCCGAAAATGGTGGCCCCATGGGGCCGCGATCATGCGGCCCGGCAAACAGTGTCGATCAATGCTGACCCGAAGCTTTGTATCGGAGACTCCAAAGCAAAACATATCTTTGTATATACCACTATCCCTACACCGCCACACTTAATCAAAACAAGGCCGGAGTCTCATGCATTGATGTTCGTGCCACAGAATATCTGAACTACAAAAGCACTGCATGGAAGCAACACCGACGGAAAGTATGCATGTAAAAACTTCATCATATCTCCGCTGAAAACTTCCACGACCTCGATGTGACACAACGCCTTCCGTGACACGCCCCCTTCCCTGGCCCTCGGAACAACCACCTACGAAAAAGATGCAACACACGGCGTCCTGCCCACTGCCACCCGCTTTATGGCGGTGGCGGTGCCTGGACAAAAGCCTCGGAATAACTGCTAACAGCTGGAGCCAATGACCCCATGCTGTCAGTGGGCTCATCATCAACTGGCTCAGGCTTCACTTTCTTCGTCGGGGTGTGGAACATCTCTGGGCTGAGATTGCGCTTTCCGCCACTCTGCATGCCGGTCTTGTCCGACTCCGTGCCCGCGCCTTCCAACTCCTTCTTGCTGTAGTCCTGGGTGGAGGACTTGTTGAAGGTGCTACGACTCGGCGCTCGCGCGAGTGCTGCGATTTGCTTCTCGTTCATGTACTCGTGCTCGCAGAAATCATTGGCCAGCTTGTACGGCTTGGACTGTGGCCCAGACTTCTTGGACTCAATGCACGCCTCCCCCTCGGAGAAGTTGGAATCCACCCACAAATCATCCAAGGAGTCAAACTGCGGGATCTTGGACGTGGGGATGGTGGCCTCTTCCCCGCTCCACTTTTGCCGAACTAAGACGGTTTTCTCGGCCTCGGCATAAGAGACTATCTCGAAAAGGCCGTCCACGGGCCAATTGGGAGGAAGTTTCAGAGCCATGGCACGCCGTCCTCGCTTTTCAGAGCAGGACTTCAAGTACTCGAGGAGCTCGTTGAAGCAACGCATCTTGCCAGACAGGGAGAAGTTCGGCCCCTGTCCCGTGGCAAACTCACCCAAACGAGCCATGCCAACCTTGGAACTTGCATCACCCGACTTCATGCTCCGCAGGTTCGGGGAGCTAAGGCTGGATTGCTCAATCTCTGGCAAGATTTTGTCCCTCCACAGATTGACGCTCAGGTCCTTAAGGTGCCAGTAGCGAGTGGGAACCGGATCGAGGATGATGGGCTTCTTCTCCGGCGAGCTGTTCTCTCCGGACATACCATCCAATTCCGACTCCTGCTTCACTTGCTTGCGTCGCTCGATGGCTTGTGCCTGAAAGCTCTTGCTCACGGTTTCTGGCACCTTGATCGATTCAGCATCGAGGCCCATGCTGGTGATCTTGTCCCAAAGCTGCGGAATCATAGAAGGACGATTCTTCATGCACAGCACAATCTTCGCTTTCAAAGCCGCATTGCGCAGCTCTGCTGCCCGCCGGTCCAAGTTTGCAGCGGCCTCTTCAGCCGATGCTTTGGCACGTGGCATGGCCGAAATGAGCTTCTGGGAAGCTTGAAAGCTGCGCACTAGGCCACGAGTGGCGTTTCCTGTTTTGCGCCGAGAGCTCAACTGGCAGCAAATCACAGTCAACAGAGCTCCAAGCGTCAACGACAACCATGACTGAAAAGCATGCTGCAAGACATGTCTTCCGACCACGGCATGCCGCTGCGTCTAGAAGCCAACCCGGAGTTCGAAAGGACGTTTGGAGAGGTTCGCGAACTGTTCAGTGTAATGGTGCACCTTCCTCCTAGCTCTAGGTTCGGGCACTATGTTTTCTACATCTTGGAAATCAACCACGCGAGCTTCCGACATCTGAACTTGCACCCTTTGAGCCGCATCCCGAATGCGCATCCTGCTCCCATGAACACAAACATATCTTCATCAACACGAGGTTTTTGAATTGGAGCTGTGATGATTGCTGTTGCCGTGCATCTGATACTGATTGCACGGAAGACTTGGTGGTGTGGCCACTCGCACTTTGCCAGCTGCTGCCGGCTACGCAGGAGCCGTGTGCAACACAGAAACCAATCTTCTGATATGCAAGTACCACCACAGCTTTTGCAAAGCTCCATCCAGGATGCCTCCATATTTGTTTAAAAGGGGCTTTGGGTACCCTCGGCAGGAGGCACTAGCCGACCAGACCCGTCTGGCAACTGCCGACTGAAATCGACGGTCGGGCACATATGCTTGATTGGCAACCAGCAAGAAGTCGTAAGGGCAATCACTGCGGGACAGAGTGGCAATCCTGGAGGGGAGCCGGAGGGGGCGGGGGCGGCATTATTTTTGTTGTTTTTGTTTTTTTCCTGCTTGTTTGTAATTAAAGGCTAACAATGGATCCACTTTCCATTTCCAACCCATTATTTTGCGAGGACGGGGGGAAGCCATTAATAGCACTATTTGTTTTCCTTGTTGTTTGTAATTACAGAAAAATAATGGATCCATTTCCCATTTCTAATCCATTACTTTTCGAAGGCGGAGGGGGGGGCGGGGCGCCATCGTTATTAGTATTTCCTTTGGGTCCGGACGGCGGGAGGGGAGGAGGGGGCGGAGGGGAGGCGGGGGGGGCGCCATTACTATTATTGTTTTTCCTTCTTATTTGTAAGTATGTACGTAGAGGAAAAGAATGGAGCTATTTTGCATTTCCAATCCATTATTTTTCGAGGGCGGGGGGGGGGAGGCCATTGTTATTATTTTGTCCTTGTTGTTTCTAAATAACAGGCAATAATGGATCCATTTCCCATTCCCAATCCATTATTCTGTGAGGCCGGGGGCGCCATTGTTATTATTATTATCTCTGGGTCCAGGCCCTCAATAAAATAATGGAGCCAGTCTCGGGGTGGGACAGGGCCTATGGATAGGGCCCGTGATGGGGTGGACAGGGCCTGCCGCCAGGCCCTATGACAGGGGCAGACAGGGCCTGTGACAGGGCCTGTCACATGGGCGGACAGGGTCTAGGACAGGGCTACACACAGGTAAAGGGCAGGCTGTCGCGCGGGGTTCTTTATGGAGCTTCAAGACTAGCACACGCTTCACGACTAGCACACGTGGAAACCTGTCGTAATTCTTAAACTGACATGCTTCAGCAGGTCCAGTATACCTCAACGCAGGAATCTACCTAACAAAGAAAACTTCCCATACAACCGCAGCATAGACCCTTCATGCTTGGGCACTTCTTATAGAGGCCCTTCGGAGACTCCCATATCAATCAGACTTAGAGTTTTGAGCACTCGC